CTCTCTCTCTCTCTCTCTCTCTCTCTCTCTCTCTCTCTCTCTCTCTCTCTCTCTCTCTCTCTCTCTCTCTCTCGCTCTCGCTCTCTCGCCGTAAAGAACACGCCGAGGACAAGTTGCCGAGTTTCTCGCGTCTACATCCGTGAGAGGGTCTCGCGCACGACACGGCCAGTCACATTTTAGGCGGACACCCCCAGCGGTGAAGCTGCTTCTCGACTTTTCTTGACTCAACTCTTCTTCCACTTTATCTTACAGTCGGGGACAAGTCTGTGGTGGCTCAGGTGGCTTCCATATTTCGTCACCTGAAGTGTCCTTTTACCTGAAACCAGCCAACACCTGTGCTGGGAGAGGGAGAGAAGCACCTGGAGTGCTGTGCCCGTCGCCAAGTGAGGAAGAAAAAAAAAGCGAGAGTGAGAGAGACTGCCTGGAGGACTGAGCCAAACTCACAAGTTGAAACTGTGGCTACCTGAAACATGGAGGTCGATGGTACTTCGTGGAAACTTACTGTGCTGTCATTGACCTGCTTGTGGGGGTTGTCAGGTAAGCGAAATGATTATTTTCACATGTAATATTCAGTGCCAAATATATTGGCTACATTGGTTTAAAATCTATGAAATTACAGGTGCCAGGATACCATTCAGTCAAACATAATTCCATACAGCCCTGAGAAAAACATAATTGTTCTGCACCAATGAAGATATATGCATATTCATTCTTATTTCTTTATCCTGTAACTAATATACAAATAAAGGTATTCATCATAATCAAAATACGGTAAACAACAGCAACAAAAAAACGGAATAGCACAATAGAAGGTGTAATTTTGCTGGGAATGGAAGAGGGTGAAGAGGTGTATTTTAGAAAAACACCTGCTTTTATTTCTCAGGATTCAGTAAAAAAGTGTGTTATACATGATTATGTCTTCCAGGGAAGAATAATCCCTTCATAGCTTCTGCAACGTTGGCTCATCCGCCACTCTTGAGCAACGTATTAAAACTCCTACTTCCCTAATAACTAAACTGTACACGCAGCCTACTTTTCCCCTGTCATCTTTACGATTCAGAAAAATTGGGACATGGTACAAATGCTCGAGCTTTTTTCAAATGTTTTATGGAACGACAAGCCATCAATTATTAATTTTGGTCAAAATCTGAAGAGCGCTGTCTGAGAAAATGATCTTTTACACAATATAGGAAATCATTTGTCATGACGTGTCGCTGACATTTTTTCTTTCTCGAGTGAATTTCCATGGCTGCAGTATTATAATTGTACAAGTTGCATTTTTCTCGAGAGACTGCATTCAAGGTCATTTCAAAGATCCTACTGCTGTTTAACAGCTACACTAAAAATCCCATGCAAGGTGTTGGTTTGTGCTCATAATCACATAGTTATAAAAATCTTTTTTTGCGGGTTGGGGGCTGTCAGTGACATCATTTCTGAATGCTTTTCGAATAAACTTGTCTTACAAAACCATCCGATTCTCATGTGGGATAACTAGGACACTCGTGCTTGAGCGCGTATTAGTTTCAACTTTCAAGAGACAAGCTGGTGGCTCTCATGTTGCTCGTGAGACATAAAAGCTATGGGGCACATCACATTTTCCTTGAATTTTCTCTCAGCTGCGTGAAGCCTCTATGTCCATTTATACACTCTGTTGCCAAAACAATCTCATGAGCTGACATCGGCAATCTCAGGCTGGCTTGCTTCTCCCTCCTTGATGGAGGGAAGCGTATCACCTGAAAATGCTACCTGACAACTATTCTGACCATAATGATTCCATTAGATAAATCACCTCTGGGCTATTTGCAGGTACAATGTACTGAGGGGGATTAATGTTAGCTATTTACCAGCAGGTCGTGATTTAGTGTCATAGCACAACAGGACATTGGAGTCACAGTTGCTGACATTGACAATTAGTTGCCCTCCAGGTGTGTCCTGAACACAGTCAGTGGCCAGGATCCATGGAGGAAATGGTAATGAATAGCAGCCTTTAGTCACAGGAAGACTCGGTGCTCCTTAAGTCCTTGGTGTTGACGTGTGCATTATAGGAGGAAGTGAGAAAACGTCCTGCAACAATCAAGATAAGACATCAATCTGTGTTTCTGTCAGAATTCTCAAAGTTGTTATGATGGTGAATGGTGAATACGACACAATATTGAACAGGACTTCTATTTGTGGCTTATTTCTCACACTTGCAAGACATTACTAGAATTTTGTTTGTGGCAAAATGCTGGTAAATCTACACTTCTGTGGAAAAATGCTGGTTAATCTACACTTCTTTTTTTTTGTTTAATCATTGAAAAAAATACATGGGAAATAATGGAAATTCCGTGGTGAAACTGATGTCATTATACCGTATTGGATCGAATATAAGATGGTGTTTTTGGCATTGAATTAAGACTGAAAAAGTGGGGGTCGTCTTATATTCGGGGTCTAGACATTATACCCATTCACGATGCTAGATGGCGCCAGATATCATTGAAGCAAATGCTGAACTTGACTGCACAGGCCAAAATGAACCCCTGTCACGAAGAATAAAAATAAAAATAGCGGTAGCACGAAGAAGAAAAATCAAAAATAGTGGTAAGAAAGAAAAGAGAAGAAAATAATAGAAGAGATAACAGAAAATGGAGAAACGTAGCGACAATCTGGAGAAAAGTGGGTCGAAGATCGGCCAGGTTAACCGGCAGCTGAGGAGAAGTTATGATGTAATTTACATTTCAAAAACCAGAAGCCATTCATTTACGAATGTGATTGCACTTTAGTTTACATATTTAAATGTTCAGATATTAAGATTTGAATGAGGCAAAATAACATGCTTTTTCTCTCAAATATATTGTTATAATCATTTGTTTCAGATGTACTGTAATTTTTTTCTGTATAAAAATTAATTTGGTGTTCAAAAAGTCTTTTTTCAAACTTGAGTCTTGAAAAAGAGGGGGTCGTCTTATAATCAGGGCCGTCTTATGTTCGAGCCAATACGGTAAAAGCTCCACGAAACCTAAAAAGGTATACAAGATATGAATTACTGGAAGATTCCTTCCAAATCAACTAAACAGAGGTCACTTTGCCATGTATGTGTTTTTTTTTTTTTTTTTTTTTCCATTTTTTCTTGTTTTCTGATTGTGATCCCCCATTGGCAAATGTAGTTTCCACCCAGATACAGATTTGTGTTGCACACCACAAAGAGAAGCAGGACACACATATGAAGTCAAAAGAGTGGTGGCCAGTGTGATGGGACACACAAATGGTGACTCATTGAGTCTTAGGGGGATCCAGTGCCTTGCTCAAGGGCACCTCAACAGTAGCCAGAATGCAGACTAATATCTGTTCAACAACTGCTGTATTTACTAGCACCACTTGAACTAGTTCCAAAGCCAGGTATTTTTTTTTAAATAGCATTTGTACCATTTTGTCACAATGCTGTCATTACGTGGCAATAATTTCTATTTTCCTTTCTATGGTCCTCATTTCTTTGCGTCTTTTACTGGTACCATCTGTGGTTAATATTCTTCAGAAGTTTACTATTAAAATTTGGAGTCTATAAAACATTGAGGAAAGTCAGAATTCATCCATTGATTCATCTACCCACCCATCCATTTTTGTAAAACTGTTGTCATTAAGGTTGTCGGCAAGGCCAGAGTGGGACTCGTTTTCAGGCCCGACGTTCAGTTCTCAGACCGGGCCACTTTAGTAAATTTTTTAATGAAGATACACAATTTTACTGTTCTTCGTGGATCAATATAAAATATATTACCATTCCTTCCAACTAAGTTCATATTTCATTTGATAAGAAAAATCAAAATTTCATTCAATGTGCTCACAAGATCACGATCAGTGTTTATTTGTATAAGTATGAAAACATAAATCGGCAAAAGCACAAAAAGGACCAGTCGGCAACCTACAATGAATGCTATTTGTATCATATTTGATACATGCATTTTCATTATGTAACTCATTCTTTATATTACATTAAATCATCTGTATCAAATTTGATACTGCAGGTTTAAAATATGATTTTCCCCAAGTTATCATTTTCAGATGTATTCTACATAATGCTTATAAATGTGATACAACAAATATCTAAAACAACATTATATGGCAAAAATATTTTTGTGGATTTTGTTCTAAGGGTTTTAATGAACATCTCAGTTCCCAAAAATCTGATTTTCCGGCTATTCCTTGATGGGTCAGGCATTACAGGGTTAAGGGTCCCCTCGCACAGTTGGCGCAAGCACTCACACACCTTTGTGTCTTTCTATCAGCAATAATCGTGTTTTATCACACGTTTTGCACATGCCGATATTCAACCGCACGTCGAATACATAATGAATGCGTGTGACATATTCAGTTACTCTTATGGCCCGAAAACTGGATGCTGGAGCACAGAGAGTATTGTGCCGCTGACCCCCCTCTGGCAGAGCTGAGCTCCATTGGCGCAATTCACAGAAGAAGCCCATAAACATTTAGAGCAGGGGTGCCAAAGTCCGGTCCTCAAAAGTACCTATCCAGCCTTTTGGGATGTCTCCCTCCTTCAACACAACCTTTCAAATCATCAGCTCATCACCAAACTGAGAAGCCCGCTAACGATTGGAGAAGGGAGATATCCAAAACAGGATGCAAAGGTGCTCTCGAGGACCGGACTTGGCACCTCTGCACCGGAGGTTGCAGTGAGACATATCTTCTCATAGTACATCTGATTCCTTTATGTATAATCCATGATTTACCTGCTGATCAACTATTGTACTATTATGATTCTATTCTGGTCACACAATCAAGCAAAGGATCATCTTCATTTTATTCCCAGGTGGCTCCCACAATGGATTTTACTTATTTAACAAGGTCGAGCCACACAAGCTTCAAAGGCTTCATTGGGATGAGGAGGGCAAAGCTCTGTTTCCACTGCAGATTTTCTGTGGAAACCCTCAGTGATTTAGTAGTCAGAGTGAGGGGGTTGCAAGTTATTTTTAGCTTTTATGTATGATTCTAAACACACTTGTAGGACACTGATCCCTCACCCATTCTAACTTAAAACGCCTACTTCTCATGCCTTTATATTCTCTGACAAGTTGAAAACATCTGGTCGCACATCTCTCCGTAATCGTTGAAATCTATTCTGTGGCCCTCAAGGAGGCAACAGGAAAGGCCATGGAATAGAGTTTGTCCAACTTACAACGATGACCTTATCTCTAATTGCCTATTTCTTAGAATATTACTAAATGGATATGTCGCAAAGCCCATTTCCACTTTGAACTGGGATTATGGCTGTTTGAAGCCTGCAGTCCTCATGTGTGTCCCCAGCAACTGGTGCAATTTTGATTTGAGAAAGGATTGTGGGGATTTATTGTTACATACGTAATGACACGGAAATACAACTGTGCACTTCTTCCACCCCCTGTGGGCCAGTTCACTGTTGAAAAATGAATTCACGTGCCAGCCGCATTTGTAATCCTTTGTATTTATACTCATCAGCACTGTGCATAAGGCCAAGGAGAACAAGAACCTGCATGGAGATTAGCGCAGGTTCATCCTCGCAGTCATATTCGTTACTCGTTCAAAATATTTCTAAATCCTTTTTTTACATTGCGTTTTATTGCAATTATCTTGGTCTTAAACACCTTTCTCTACTTTTATCACCTCAATTACAGTTCCATTTACCGGATTAATGATGTAATTATAATAAATGCGGAACATGGGAGTATTAGCAGAATCTGCCTACATATGGGTTTCCTTTTTTTTTTTTTTTTTTTTTTTTTTTTAACCTAACAAAAAGCATTTTCAGATCAACGGTTAAATCAAGGATTAAAAATACTGTTGGTGTGTAATTGCCTCAACAGAACTGTCTATACGAGACTACTGTATTGGCCTTACCTTGCGCTCAGACTGGACAAAAGAGGCTCATCTAACAAGCTACGTCTCGTGCTAGCTGTTGCGCTGTAGTGTATTTTGATTGGAGAAGATGTTGACTGGCTAATTATGATAATGTTATTATTGTTTTATTTAAGATATCCTTTATTTGTCCCACACTGGGGAAATTTACAGTCCACAGCAGCAAGATAATGGGTAGAAAGAAGAAAGAAGAAAAGAAAAACAAACACCGTTCAATTAAGTGCAATATAAATAAAGATATGTTTTGTGTAGGGGAGACCAGGAATGATACCGTATTGGCTCGAATATAAGACGGTGTTTTTTGCATTGAAATAAGACTGAAAAAGTGCTGGTCGTCTTATATTTGGGGTCTAGACATTATACCCATTCACGACGCTAGATGGCGCCAGATATCATTGAAGCGAATGCTGAGCTTGACTCTCCAGACCAAAGCGAACCCCTGTCACGAAGAATAAAAATAAAAATAGCGGTAGCACAAAGAAGAAAAATAAAAAATAGCGGTAAGAAAGAAAAGAGAAGAAAATAATTGAAGAGATAACAGAAAATGGAGAAACGTAGCAACAATCTGGAGAAAAATGGGTCGTAGATCGGCCAGGTTACCCGGCAGCTCAGAAGTTATGGTGTCTACTTCAAGATGCTTTTTCTCTCAAATATATTTTTGTAATCATTTGTTTCAGATGTACTGTAAATATTTTCTGTATAAAAATTAATTTGGTGTTCAAAAAGTCTTTTTTCAAACTTGAGTCTTGAAAAAGAGGGGTCGTCTTATAATCAGGGCCGTCTTATATTCGGGCCAATACGGTAGTAACACTTTTTGTTTTCAGCAAGTGTAATTCAGTGATTCTTTTCTGCTGTAAATGACATACACATGGACTTTGACTGCAACATCACAGATGACGTAAATGAATGTAAAATACAAAAAGGTATGTTGTTACAACCTGCAATGAACAGCGCTTATTGTGAACAGTGTTTAGTACTTGGTAACTAGGCTACTAAAAGGCGTTTGAGGAGTCGAGCTGTCCATTGAACAATTAAATAAACAATGTGTTTTTAAGGTGCAAAGTCATTTCATAGGCAAACCGCCTGAGGCAGAATACATATTTAATTCAATGTTTTGGTCCTTGCCTGGGGTGCAGGCGTCATTGGCCTATAATTTACCATTTTGAAATCCGATCCACACTTCCATTGGCTGCTAGTTATCAAATTGCATCACGGTATTTAAATGATCACTTTTTAAGAACAATGACAACTCTCCCCCATGCCAGTCAGCCATTAAAAAGCTAGGCTATTTATTTATTTAGTTGGTTAGTTAGTTAGTTAATTAGTAGGATTTAGCGTCAAAGCTAGCACAAATACAACGCACCAAATTAAACCAGAGAAATTACAACTTGAATTTATATAAGTGAAACAATTATATCTATGAACACTATGCAAAAAAACAAAATATTTGTGATGAAAATGTATACTTTCTGACCTGACAAATAGTTATTTGGCTCCAGAACAGACATTTTTCAACTCAGCTGTCTGTAGACAGATCACCATTGCAAAAGAGAATGTTATGTTTTTGTTTCGATTACATTTGGTTTTGTTCCCTGGTGCGCCTTTTGTCTTCACCTATTCTCGTCATCAGGTCCCTTGTGTTAACCAATCAGGTCCCTCAACCCTTTGTGTCTTGTCCAGGTGTTTCTCATTGTCTCGTCACTTTGCTTGTATTTAGTTCCCTGGGTTCTCTCAGTCTTGGTTGGATTCTGTGTGTGTCTGTGTCCGCCTGTTATGTTTTGTATCTGTCATAAGTTTTTTTTTGGCTACTTTGGTTGACTGTGGTTTTCAGGACTTTGAGTACTTCAGTTAGTTTTTTTCCAGCTCCTGTTTGTGTTTTTGTTAAATACATTTTGCTCAGTCCACCGTGCCTCCTCCTGCCTGCCTGCTTTTTGGGGTCCTCTACCTACCAGCACGCAAAACTTGACAGCGAATCTGTTATCAATTGCCTTACCAAGATAAATAAATGTTAAATAAAATATAATTGCCATACAAACCTATCTGTCATGGGAGGTGGTGCACAAATTGTAGCATGTGTCACTTGTTTGTAAATGATTAAAAAACAATTTTGTGAATCATTGTTGACAAATTAGGGGCAATGAAAATTGTACTGGCAGGTGTACTGCGTAGTCTGCGAACGAGACACTTTCAGTATACGAGCATTTTGTGTGTGTGTGTGTGTGTGTGTGTGTGCATGCGTGCGTGCGTGCGTGTGTGCGTGCGCGCATGCGCGCACGTGTTGAATGGGATGGGGGAGTTGCTGATGACTGTCCCTTGGCTGGGACATCCCATCTCCATCCATGGAGCCAGAAGGAAAATGGCCTCCTCTTAGGGGTCATGAGAAAGTTACTGCTTGACTTTCCCATCATTGGGCTCTGGCCTAGGCACGCTCTTAAAGTGTCACACACTTCCTTTTTTTTTTTTTTTTTTTTTTTGTGCTGATATTATGATACCTACAAATTTGGTGAGAATTATTTCCAGCACCGTTTTGTCCTTTCCCATTTTACTAATAGTAGTTCAGTTCATCAGGATTCTGTCGCAATCCAAAATAAATGCAATTCACACTGTTTTACTGAAAATACATTTTCAGTCAGTTTTCATACTGATCTGCTGATGAATTGCATACACATACTAGACGGACGCTACATTCACACTGCGTGGCGTGATGCCCAAGCCGGACATTGTGTTAAATTCGATCTTTTTATTCGAAAAAAATGCGACATCTAATGTGAATGCAAAGCATCCATGATGTGACACGTCTGCGCACAAAGCACGAAATTGACTGACATGGCCAAAAAGACGACATCACGCGGTTCATTGTTTACGGAAGTTAATATGGACCCTTGTGAAAGGGATCATTTATTTATCATCTCATATCGCCAGAGTAGTGAGGCGGGATGAGGTAGAAATATTTTGGGGAAATGAGGTGGCACTCCTTGGTCTCATTTCATGGAGACATCTACTAAAGATGACATCACGCCATTGCCACGCATCAGAAATGAACCAGTCTGCATGGCTGAATTACCATCACCAATCAGTCAACTTTATGCTTCATGTTTCACGTTGGATGAAATTAAAATCCAATATAAAGACAACAAATATTCAAAACAATTTTGCAGATTCACAGATGATTGTCAGTGTAGTCTCCTGAGCTGAGCACTTTTTTTCCACCTGCGCGAAGCTCATATTTGACTGAAATATAGGTCAGATGTATATGGAAGAGCTTTTACACTGCAGACACATGGCATTCATACCCGATTTATATACACATTTGAAGGAGGCCCAGTTTGGATTTGAAAAAAAAATGTACTGTTCACAAAGCATGAAAAAAATCTGATACATGTCGTATATGGGCTAAAAATTGGAATTGAGCTGCATTGTGAAATTAGCCTAAATTTTAAATTAGCTGTAGAATTTAAAGATTTAAGAGACAAGAGCTTTTATTTCAAAAAAAAAAAATCCTTTTGGTATCAATGTTCATGTGTGTCACAGATTATGGAACGAACTTTAACACTTGGACGATGGCAAGAAATATTTCAGTGGAGAACACCCTATATCTGTTTTTGTTCTGCTGGCGCCCCAAAAAAAAAAGTTAACTCTTGACTTTGTTCAACCATTGATGAAGTGATCTATTAAACTCTATTGCTCCCTCTTTCGTTTGACTCAAGGATCTCGGAACGGTGTATTCCTGTGCGCCCCCCCCCTCCCCCATCAACATCCATCGTTTTTGTCATTGTTACATCTGTTCAAAAGTCATACTATGCTGACTGTGCTGTATGTTACATTTGACAAAGTTGTATCCATCCATCCATCCATCCATCCATAAACACCATGTATTCGAGAGTTGCTGTCTTTCAGGACTCGCTAGTACATAACCTTGCCACAACCCAGGGGTCCCCAACCGCCGGTCCTTTGGTACCGGGCCGCACAGAAAGAACTTGCCTTAATTCCGTTTTATTTATTTCGGAATATGAAAGATGTTTTATTTTGAAAAACTACCGGATTCTCCGTTACATCCGTCTGTGTTACGCTTGACACACGTCAAGCCACGCTTCTCCTTCACGTGACCGATTACTTCAAAACAAAACGCGGGAGCTCGCAAAATGAGTAAAAAAAACTGCTGGAGATCGCAAATGACGGCGGCCTTAAAAGTACGTTCGAGACAACTGGATTAAAGTTATGGCTGAATACTCTGAGATGGCCACAATAGCACTGTTGCTATTTCCGACATCCTACCTGTGTGAGGCGGGGGGTTTCTGCAGCAACGGCGACGAAAACAAAATTACGAAGTAGACTGGACATAAAGCACACACTTGAGGTGTCATTGTCTCCTATTACCCCGAGATGGGACCGTCTGGTTGCAGAAAATCAAGCTCGGTGCTGTGGTGAGTCGTCATTTTCATGCACTTTGAATTTGCGTTGTATCGTATTTTGAAGGCATTAAACATTGCCATAGCGATTGGAGTGTTGCGACCAGATTAGACGCTCCTTGTGTTTATTATTATATTTCGAAAAAACCACAGTTTTCATGCAGCTCATACCATATTATTTTGTTGTATTATTTCCTCCACACCTTAAATGCCGGTCCCTGAAAATATTGTCTGACATAAACCGGTCCGTGGGGCAAAAAAGGTTGGGGGCCCCTGCCACAACCAACTCTCCTGTCCTCCCTCAAACCCTGTTCACTCATTCCTCTTCCAGAATGAAGTCACGTCACTTCTCCACTGGCAACCCAGGTATCCATATTTGAGGTCAGCAGAACACAGAAATTGTTCCATTCCACGAGAAAAACAGGAGTGTCCTGTGTTACTGGCAACACTTAAGAGCTGGTCCGTTAATTATGGGGAGAGCATAAAGTGTCCACTCTGATCCTCTACTAATCTCCTCTCCTCACCCAAAGTCAACCTTGCAGGAATGGGCCACAATGCACCCAGTTGCGGTACACCCTCAAGATCCCTCCTGTTTGCTATCACCCACTACCACACAAATATTGAGGACTCCATTACCCACATTTAGGGATTGAACCGACTAGTCGGGTGTCCACCTTACCACATTGATGGTTATAGCTTGAAGACATGTTGCAGGTCCACGCAGCAAACGAGCAGCAGTGCCTCAAGTATGTACCAATGTTTTACAAAAAATATCGGAAGCACAATCACTTGTAAAATATAACAGTCTTTCTACAAATACAATAATGCATCCGCTAACCCTAACTGAAGAAGAGCCTTAAATCCTTATGTCGGCCATCAGCAAATTTTGCAAATGCCCTTCTGTAATGGTGAAAGTACAGATGGTATTCTGTCGTGTCTGCTTTGACCAGGGATATCCAAACCCGGTCATCGAGGGTGGCTGTCTTTCTTGTTGTAGTTGTACATCTTACTACTAAACTACTAATACTTACTTACTTTGATAAAAATTAATGCTCCTGTGACCTTAGAGACAACGTCTTGAGTGATGTAGATGCTCTGAAATAATTAGTGCTTGAAACACAAGCAGCACAGTGAGGAACCTTGGTATCATCTATGACCAGGCTTTATCACTGAACTCATATATACAAAGTGTCAAGGACAGCAGACTTTCATGTGTGTAACATAAAAATAACAAGACATTTCTTGCCATTTGCCAATGTTGAATATCTAGTGCACATGCGACTCCAGGCTGGTTAACTGTAACTCTCTTAAAAGTCGGCTCCAGCAAGTGGTTAAGGCCTAAAATTAAGTATCTAAAGGTTAAGTGTCTACAATTCTGACGCCCAACAAGAAGTCACATGCTAGTGTCATTTCACTAGCTTCATATGAAATTTAGACTCAAAATTCAAACTCCTTCTCAAGCAACATGAACAATCTACAAGAAAACTACACCCCCTAAACTCACATCTACTTGTGGTTCCTAGAATATGCAAAAAGAGAACGGAACTTAGGGCTTCCAATTATCAAGCGTCTTGTCCAATGGAACCATTTTCCAGATTTGGTGAGAAAAGGCCGACGTATAAGACTGTATAAGAACAAACTTAAATCATTCCTCTTCAATAAAGTGAATGGTCGGGGATGATTTATAGTGTAATTCCTACTCTCTGGTTTACTGTTCTGGGTGTTAGACTTCTTGCCACACAGTGGGTGGAAGCCTGTCTCCCAATTGCTCGCGTCACATGCACAGCCAATTACATCATCCGCAAAGGGAGAGCTTGTTCTGTATAAATGCACGGACCCAATCCATTCATCCATCAATTATCTGATTCGCTTATCCTCACGAGGTTCGTGGGCGTGCTGGAGCCCATCCCAGCTGACATCGGGCAGTGGGCGGGGTACACCCTGAAACAGCCAATCGCAGGGCACACATAGTCGAACAACCATTCGCGCTCACAATCCTACCCAGGGACAATTTTGAGTGTTGCATGAACCAGCCATGTATGTTTTTGGAATGTGGGCGGAAACCGGAGTACCTCAAGAAAACCCACGCAGGCACGGGGAGAACATGACAACTCCACACAGGAACGCTGGAGCTGGAATCGAACCCTGCACCTCTGCACTTTGAGGCGGACGTATTAACCAGTTGACCACCGTCCCACCTCACACGGACCCGAGCGGGACAATTTCCGCTTCCGTAATGTCGAAGACCGTGTGCACTTGGACCACCCTGATTTCAACGGGAAAGTGGGGAGCTGCTTCGGTTGGCTGGGAATACATAGCATTCCATCCCACAACGGCGCAAAATGGTGCAAATGCCCTCTTCCACCGGTGTGAGTCTACGATACCAAATATCGGTGTATATATTGGTGTGCTTTACGGTAGACCTGCACTGAACACGAAAATGGGGCCTCGAATCTCTTCGGATCTTGACAGGTTACCTCCTTAGAGTATTTCTTTTTTACTGTCCTCTGTTGCCAAGTGCATACTCATGTGGGATTCAATTGATCTCTTAATAAGTGAAGTGTGAGGTTCAAGACCTGCCATGAGCAAACTGCACCAAGATATGTTCTTGTTATTATGCACGGATGTATTAGACAAGGAGGTTGGTTGAAAAATCGAAAGGTACGTTGCTAGCTAGCTAGGATACCAGAATGTTTCTTGCCCAATTAAAAAAAGTAAAATCCAAAACGGCAAATGCAAAAAAACATATTTGACTGTTTCCCTCTAATAGTAGAACTGTTGCATTAGTAAATAAGACATGCACACAGAATTGGTCGAGTGAGCAAATGATCCAAGATGCCTGTGCCTTGGACAGATGTTGCAACCATGAGTCAACAACAACTGCCACCTTACATCCCTTTGACCTGTCCATCAAAAAAAAAAAAAAAAAGAAAAGTTAATAAAGCCCATGACAGACGGGAATTGAGGGCACTGGCTTAGACAAGATAGGCTGTGTTCAATTACTCTTACTTGAGGTATTTATTTGGGGGATGGGCTGAGAGGCTGATGCACTTATGACATCCGGCACATTGACAAAATCCTGGATTCCTACTCGAAAAATACTTTCCGAGTCGTATCGCAAGACAGGCAAGCATTGTGTAAATTAAGGGTGGGAGTCACACAGTACCCAATGATGTGATAATATTGTGATATTTAAAATGATTGTGATAAGCAAGCCACATCATCGATACATTAAAATAACTGAATCAAGAAGGGGAATGCTTATGTAATTGGTGTTCTTGCACATAACAAAAATAAAGATTAAATAATAAAATATTGTTTGTAAATAACTCTCAGGCTGTGTTGCGCCAACAAGGTTTGATTTAATTTTTTTTCCCTCAATTAAACATTACAGCCCCGAGGTTTTGTTTGCGAGTGGGTGCATGCGAAGCAAATTTTGTTTTTTCTTCAGGGGTCTTTCAAGGTAGCAAAGATGTTTGCCAGACACTTACAGTTTTTCTTGATGGGTGTGCGCCGTTTGCCGCGTGTATGCACACATGACTTTAGCCTCTCAGAGAGATACGGGTTTACATTGTTGCTAGCTAGCAAAAATGTGACCTTAATTTTTTTTTTTGTTTTACGTTATAATGGCTTTGCAAAGAAGCTGAAACTTTTCCTCCTTTGATGACGATTAAATGTAACCTTGGTTTAAGACTACAAATTAAACTGAGGTTTAATTAAAGAGAGGTTTAAATGTTATCTGGTTTATTTTAAACTAGGTTAAATTTTAACCATGATTCAATCTAGTTTTAAAGTTTAACCTTGTTGGTGCAATCTGGCCTCTATCTGGTATGTTCAAGTAATATTTTTGTGTAAATGCTGTGATGAAAATGGAAGATTTACCCACAATTTCAAAGTAAATGAGTTTCTCCACTGGTTAATTATCCTTCGCCTGACTTCCTGTTTAATCTTGCAAGAACGAGGCACATTGGAATGGATGTCTGCAAAATACCGAAGTATCTTGTTCATCCTATGGTGTGTCATCATTTTCTGTTGCCTATTGTTGTATAATGAACAATATTATTTACAATGCAGAAAAAAAATCATATTTTTGGGGGTCAAGTTGGAATTATCTCACGCATAAGTTAACATTCACTTAAAACCTGTCAAAAAATATAAAACCGTATATTGTTAAAAGCAGATTTTTTTTTTTTTTAAGATTCCCAATTTTAACAAAAACGCTTTGTAAATATGCTGAAATGTCAGAAAAAGTGATGAGGCTTTCAAAGGTCAGAGGCCTTGACCTCACTTGTGATTCTTTGCCAAAAATTATTGAATCAACATTTAGCTTTATTTGCTCATTGGTCAGGATAAATCAAGTGGTATTCTCCCCTTCAGGGAGGTGTCAGTGTGCACTGTAGTGCAAATGTTGACTGAAGTTTAGAAGATACCAAATATGTTTCCTTGCCTTTTAAAAGTAACTAAAAAATACAAAGGATTGAATAAGGGCCTGGAAAGAATGCAATAACCTTTTAAAATTCCATTTGGGTGACATCTTTCTTTGCACATACCCATGTTATAATGAAGAGACCCGAGATGCTTGTGGAGGCTCTCAGTCGTACAGGAAAGTTCCATCGTAGAAAGAAACCCTTTCTACGAAGAGACCCGAGGATAATTTTTTTTTTTTTTAGCAAAATTAACTGTTGCTTTAAATCAGGTTTGCCCTGTCATCGAAACGGTACTTATGGACATACACGTATTAGTCTATACTTTTCCCAGCAGCTACATTAATATATGTAGCACAGATATCAAATCAACATTAGCAGCATATAGAAGTATAATTAAGTGGCCTAGTACAATCCAGACTGTGTGTGTGTGTGTGTGTGTGTGTGTGTGTGTGTGTGTGTGTGTGTGTGTGAGTGAGGTGATGCCGGCAGCAGGCAACAATGTGGAAAAAGTCATTATAGCCAGGCTATTAAGCTAAGGCCTTTGGGACATTTGAGCCGTCCTGGTGATCTCACTGAGGCAGAACTAGAAAAGAAACACTTTAATACAATTAGATGTACGCAAAATCTCCGAAAATATTAATCGGCTGCATTAAAATTAGACTAAAAAAGAAAAAGACCTCAACAACAATATATAATGATTGTAATACTTTTTACATTTTTCATCCTAACATATGCCTTTATTCTCACCACTTTTCACATGATTCATTGGTAGAGAAATTAACCCTTTAAGGGACAGCGGTTACTGCAGTGGACAGCTTATCATGTTATAGGTTACAGGTTACAGGCTGCATGAAAGGATAAATGTGGGAAAGAGGAATAAATATTGAATTCTTTCCATACTGAAAATCACTCTCTCTTAAGACTAATACACTGAAAGAAATGGTGGGTTGAAGTTACTCAATGTTTTTTTGAATCATTTGGATTCATCAGAATATAAACTGGATTTCTATCATTTTTGAAGTCAAAGTATAGTCTACTTAAAAAATGTATTTGGATCAAGACAATTTTATTTCGTGCAACCATTTCATGAAACAAAATTGAGTAAATTCAACACACCATTTTATTAATTCTAGGTGTGTTTCCTGGATTTGTAAAAACAACAACAAAAAAACTTAGTGTGCAATCAACAAATTATTCAACCAGACCACTCGTGGTATGAGAGGAACTATGTTTATCCCCCAAAGTGACAACATGAATACTTGTAGCAATCCTTATTGTCTGTGTCGAAAGCAGTACCCTCAGCGAATTTACACAGAATGTGAGCATTTACCTTCACAGGGCGTACAATCAAGGATAATTGAGTGTTGAAGCAGCAGATAAAAGTCTTCATTAAATATAAAGCACGGACATTGTATTGTAATTTATTTATATGGAGATGCTCTCAGATTTGGGAATGAATCTCTTCAGCCCATGTTGCACAAGGACATCCGTGTTCCCTTGAGAGGAAGTCTTTTAGAGGGACTGCCTTGTTCTTCCCGTCAGAGAATTTCGACGTCAAACACATTGGCCTCGAATGAGAAAAAGAACATGCAATATAATTAGTCATTGCACAACTGAATATTTTATACACCATCCATCCATCCATCTATCGATCCATCCTTGTCTGTCTGTCCGTCTGTGTGTCTACGCATAAAAAGTTAGGGATATTTAGCTTTCAGGTGGAATTTATGGAAAATGGAAAAAAGTTCACGCTACAGTGATATCATATCATGAAAGTAGAACATTGAAGTAGATGGATGCACTGCACGCAGACCACACTGATGTAAATGTTTCGAATGGTCTGACGTGGCAGTTCGGTGCCTCTCACCTCCCTTCAATGTGCCTGGAGTTGGGTGGAATTCATCATCCGGTTCCTCAGGGCATTGTTCACAATGTAGCGGTCATCATCATGGGATGTGACTGAAGGACGTCCACTTCTAAATCTTTCTGTTACTCTTCCAGTCTCTCGGTATCTCTGTTGCAACCTGCTGATGACACTCTAAGCTCAGTGGCCACGTTTGTCTGAGAATGTCCTGTTTGAAGTATCACAATGGCAAGATACTGTTGAACCATTGTTCAGTGTCATCTTGGTCTCATGATGTCAAAATGTGAACAGCATCATGAGGACGACTGCACCAGCTCCAATTGAACCAGGACATTTTTTCTTCAATTCAAAGATCAACCGCCAAATTTTGTCGTTAAGCTCCTCGTTAGCGAACAGCAACTTGTGCAAAAAGTCATGTGCATTCAAAAAGTTAGAGAATGCCACATCAAGTCCACCTATAAAGGATTGAATGTATTTTTGGCTCGTCCTGAAATTTCACCCAAAAGCCAAATATCCCTAGCTTTTTGTGAGGAGTGTGCATCCATTATCTTTATAATGTACATACAAACCCAAATCCAATGAAGTTGGGCCCTTGTATTAAACATAAATAAAAACAGACTACAAAGATTTGCAAATCAGTTCAGACGCCAGCATCTGTGATGGTTTGGGGTTATGTTAGTGCCAACAGCATGGGTAACATCTGTGAAGGCACCATTAACGCTGAGAGTTACATACAGGTTTTGGAAAAAAACATATGTTGCCATTCCAGCAACGTCTTTTTCATGGACGGCCCTGCTTTTTTTCAGCAAGACAATTCCAAGCCACATCTGCACGTGTTACAGCAAGTGTGGTTTTGTAGTAAAAGCATGAATGTATTAGACTGGCCTGCCTGCAGTCCAGACCTGCCTCCCATCACATACGGGTGGTACATTATGAAGCTTGAAATACGACAACGGAGATCCCAGACTGTTGATCATCTGAAGCTGTACATCAAGCAAGAATGTGAAAGAATTCCACCTACAAAGTTTCAACAATTAGTGTCCTCAGTTCCCAAGCGTTTATTGAATGTTGTTTGAAGAAAACATGATGCGACACAGTCGTTAACGTGACCCTGTCTCAGCTTTTTTGGAACACGTTGCATGAGCCATAAAAAAATCATTATTTGCTAAAAGCAAAGTTTATCAGATATAATGTTAAATATCTCATCTATTTGTGTCTTCAATTAAATAAGTTCAACATTATTTGCAAACCATTGGATTCAGTTTTTATTTAGGTTTATCACAACGTCCCAACTTCATTGGAATTGGGTTTGTGTGTGTGTGTGTGTGTGTGTGTGTGTGTGTGTGTGTGTGTGTGTGTGTGTGTGTGTGTGTGTGTGGGTGTGTGTGTGTGTGTGTGTGTGTGTGTGTGTGTGTGTGTGTGTGTGTGTGTGTGTCTCTCTCTCTCTCTCTCTCTCTCTCTCTCTCTTTCTCTCTCCCTGAGTCTCTCTGAGAGAGAGAGATGGGCGGCCTGGCGATCCAGTGGTTACCTCACAGTGCAGAGGTGCAGGGTTCGAATCCAGCTCTGGCCTCCCTGTGTGGAGTTTGCATGTTGTCCCTGGCACTGCATAGGTTTTCTCCGGGTACTCCCATTTTCTTCCCACATTCCAAAAACATGCACGACAGGCTGATTGAACACTCTAAATTGTCCCTACGTGTGAGTGTGAGCGCGGATGGTTGTTCGTCTCTGTGTGCCCTGCGATTGTCTGGCAACCGGTTCAGGTTGTTCCCCGCTACTGCCCGAAGGGATAGGCTCCAGCACCCCCCATGACCCTTTTGAGGATAAAGTGGATTGGAAGATGAATGAATGGAGAGAGAGAGAGAGAGAGAGATTTTTTTGTCTGTTTTATTTTGTTCAAAATGTTCATTCAATTTATTTTCAGGCCCTTCCTTTTAAACAAAGGACATGCATGAGAATCTCTTGCAAGGAGAACTGCACAAGTTACCTCAAGGCACACAAAAAAACCCAAAAACAAAAAAAAAAACAGCAATGTTTGTTGCGCCACAAAGAGAGCAAGCTGATTTTAACTATATTTTGGTCAATGTTTTTTTATTTTATAAACAAGAGAGAAAATAAACATGGACTTGGGTTTTTCCTGTTCAAACCTTACATTTGAGTCTACGCATACTGCAGCTACCATAGCACATATATTTTAATTATTATTATTCATTACTCCTCGCCACCCTTCTTTTATATCTACACACACACACACACACACACACACACACACACACACACACACACACACATATATATATCCGTTTCTTTGTCTTTTATCAGTATGATTACCTTCCTCCCCCTCCTGTCCCTCCGTGTGCTGCTCTTTTCCTTTTTTTCTTGGCAGCTTCTCCTCTTCCTCGTGCTCATCTCCATCCAATCTCTCCTGAGGGCTGCAGCTCCAGCATCTCATCAGCATCAGTGTCTCAGGTCAGCCGTGAGGGCTAGAGCACAAGGGTCTTTGGTGCACTAGCGTCGCAGTGTTTTTATGTTTATTTTTCCACCTTCTAATGAGCATCTCTTTCTGTAATCATCGGTAAATGTGATGTACTGGATATTTTGTTTTGAGTGCAAGTGTATGTGGACACATGCAATATTTTATTTGGCCATCTAAATGACTCTCTGTTTTTGCCTTTCATTATTTTCAGTTAACCTCCACTTACCCCCGCCTCCATTCCTCCTCTCGTCAAAGGTCCTGTCCTCACTGGGTGGTGTACAGTATGTAATTAGAAGCTCTTAGCTATTTTTCAGTCACACACAATTACACTCTGAGGAGAGCTCAGTTGATGTCATTCTCGTCAATAGTGGCTCAGAGGTGCAGATCTCCCAGTGTCACCATTAACTCATGCAGTAAAAATTCTGTTGATTCAAAATATCTCACATCACACTCTCCCTACCCCCCATTCTTTCTTTCGTCTTCTGTATTCTTTCTTTCTCTCTAACACACACATTGCCGCAGATATGTTGCAATGTCCTGCTATTATGCTCCTTTCTGGTTAAAACTGGAATTGAGCTTCCTCGGTCCAAGTGACCACACCTTTTGCAAAAACAGTGTTCACGTGAGCTCTTACACAGGGCGCCATTCTGGAGTGGGTGTGGGTTGAGTGGCGCTTTTTGCTATTCCAAGGGCCCGCGCCTGATAGCGACATTAGAAAATTGTGTTTTCAATTCGCGCCAATGAAACGAGGGACCAATAGTCAGATTTTCTTTCCAGGCCCAAAGTCCCTCGTGGCCGCCCTTGATTTCGCAGCAGTCTATCACAAAGTAGAGACAGGCTTCACATGCAGTTAAATCCCTTCACAAGGTTATTGTCAATGTTTTCTTTTATTCAGCTACTGTATATTAGGAAACACATAGTGGTGTTGCATGCTTAACAATGAGATCAGTTCCCCTGAATCTGTGAATCTCTCAACTACTGTACATTTGAAATTGTGTCCGTAACAATTGAACATACACTGGTGTAACTGCAAGGCAGGAAAGCCTCCAACACAGGAAATAATGACCAAAATAGAATTGTTTATCCTGTGCTGACGTCACCGCTACTGTTTTCAGTGCAACAGGAAAAAAAAAAACTACTGTCGCTCTCCTGCATCACTCTTGTATATGAATGCAGAACCACTAGACATCCACAGTGAAGTACAGAGGCACAGAAAGCCCTTCTAATCTTTTCCTTGTACACGTTTGAAGAGACGGAAGTCTCTCAACTGAATGCTAAACAGGATCTATCAGGATTACATTTCGGTTTGAACTTGAGCAGCTTGCTGACTGTTACAGATTTGGGAATTTGGAATAAGGCTTGGCACCTGAAGCTCAAAATTACGGATTTCATCAGCATTTCTGGAAGCTCTGCTGCCAGAGAAAATTGTCTGCTTCTGCAGTAACAGACACTCTGTCTACTGTACATCAATGACATGTCGTGAGGTTTATTGCTGCTGAGGCACTGACATGAAAATTTAAAAGAGTTAAAACAGTGAGAGGATGTTTGAAGCAGATCTCAGGTTTCCTTCGTTAATTAGATACTGTACCATTTTATGGATCGAGATATATTCCATCTTTAGAATGCACAAATTGCAGATGCTTTGTTTTCCTCACTACCATTGTTGAACCAACGTAAATTCTGTAAGTAAGAAGATTGAATACTCCAGTTGAAATGATCATGATACATTCAGCAATTTGGTGTGTTTTTATGCGGGTGAATTGGAACTAAAAAAATTAAATAATTGTTGAAGTCAAAGCAAATGTTATTAATCCGTTTTATGAGAAATTTTTCACCCACTGTTCGTCAAGATTTGGGAAGAGGAAAAATTTTCTGAATGGAAAAGATGGCATGCTCATATTGGGGAACCACTCTTTTTTTTCGTGTCAGAATTAGGCAATGTTGCTGGACACAAGTAAAACAGTGGAGCCTCACCTGTGACACCAACAGACAGGCTTTCAAAGGGACAAATCATATAGCCACATTTTGCATCATTTTGAAATATGTCATGTTATATGTAACATGAAATATTCAAATAATTTGACTAGAGCACCGCCAGGGTTAGCAATAACCATTGATGGTGCTGAAGTGGAAAGTCTGAATGAAAACTACCAAAAAAAAAACCAAATTGTCTCGGAAAGCTTATGTCAAACACAACAAAAATCTTAAAAAGCCTCTCAATTTTAAATAAAGTAAAACCATACCGTAATGAGGATGCATTACATACTTTATACAGCACCTTGGTCCTCCCATACTTCATATATTTTGCTAGACTGGCACCCATGAGCTTGGGATAAAAACATGATCATCATCATTTTGCGCCGGGAAATGGTCTAGTTCAGCGTGTTTTGTGAATTTGGTAGTCACATTGTAGTTACGATTTCCCTTGGAGCGCCGTTATGACAGTGAATTTTGTGAAACCATATAAATGTTTAACCACCTCCACATATTATATATGCAGCAAACAACAAATTGATGGATAACTTGTTTTGACATCATAACTCAAGAATAATGGCTTGCCCAAACATTATTTTTATGGATTACATATGACAATTTGAAATTTTGGTTCAGACTTTAGCAAGTATCATGGAAGTTGACATGCTTGATTTGCTTTTGCGGGCCGCACAAAATGATGTAGCGGGCCAGATCTGGCCCCCGGCCCTTGACTTTGACACCTGTGATCTAAGAGGAGCACTATTGTGCAGCTTTTATGGTGTAACACGTTTTTGGTGTATTTAATCGAGGCGCAAAGCAGATAACTTTGACACTCCCTGGATGTGTGTGGCGGATGTCATCTGACTTTATTCATAAAAAAACAAAAAAATAAATACTCCTCAACAGGACTTCTGGTCAACCGTGATCGACTGGTTGGGCACTCCTGCTCTAAATTGTCCATAGGTGTGATTGTCAGTGTTTATGATTGTTTATGTGTGCCCTGCGATTGGCTTAGCAACCAGTTCAGGGTGTAGCCCATCTACTCCCGGAATTCAACTGGGATAAGCTCCAGCACGCTCAGGATCCTTGTGAGCATAAAGCGGTTCAGATAATGAATGCATGGATGGATGGATGGATATCATAAACCACCACTGCTTTCACCCAATTACAAACCCAATTTTGTTGGAAAAAGAAATTAAGATTTAATGTGTATATGTTTTGGAGCATTTATTTTGAGTGCAATCATTTTGCCCAAACGAGTGGCTATTTTGTTTTCCTCTCAGTCCAGAAGCAACATTGATCTTTTTAACATTCATTAGTGACAGGTCATTTCATTTACTGATTTTTTTTTTTTCCCTTCATGGGGTCCATTAACCTCAGACGCTAAATTTGATTAGTGCTCCCTTGCTGTGCCGTTATTTCTCCACTGTGGATTGTTTTTAAAAACTATTATTTCTACGCTGTGGATTGTTTTGGAAAATGTACACTATGCTTGGATCACTGATGGCACTTGGCGCTACATTCACCAGGCAATTGACCATTTAGTCCTCTCTTCCTGTACTATGTAGAAATCCTCATTACCATTTGCTGAAAC